ATTTCCAGAGCAAAGTCCCTGCTACGTGAATAAGAATAATACGTATAAAATCGAAACTTCTCGAAGGAAACTAGTCCGTACTAAAATTTTATTTTGCACTATAAAAGTAATCTGTTCCTCTTCTTCCGAAAATGTAAGTGACTGTTTATTCCGGGAAATGTTTTTTGAAAGAAATGTACATAATAGCTAAGTCCGTCTGGTGTAGTGGTAAGTGACATGGACACTACACTAGGGGGTCGCGGATTCGAATCCCGCCAAGGGAAGATATTTGTATGATAAATATAAATGTCTTTTCCAGGGTTATGGATGTATATTAAATATATGTATGTGTATAATAAAAATCTTACATTTATTTCCGATATCTGGTATCTGTAACACAAATTCTTTACGAACTTATCACGGGACCAGTTAACGTCGCGTGATTGTTAGTAAATAGTTATATATATAAAAAAAAAGTAATTAGAGACTTTGTGTTCGTCGGTAAAGTTGTCTTTGATGTCGAATTGTAACGAGCAATGTGAGAATTACGAAATCACTTGTTGTTTGTTTATGATTTCGTTTAATTTGTTAAAAACAAAATTAAGCGTAAAAATATTCGTATTGTTTTTTTGGAAAATTGTCTGGAACAACAAGAAAAAAGGTTCAATGACTTTACGTCAAGTTAACATAACGACGATGCTCCTTATATAAACGAAACTCGAATTACTAATTAAGGTAAGATCAATTTTAAACCTAATTAAAATACAAAAAGCCTTGAATATAAATAAGCTAAATGAAATATTCACATAAAATACATTAAACATTAAACAAATGAATCCAATCATCACAACGACACTTCCCTCATACACGTTCATATATGAGACAAAAGTCTCAATTTCATTATACACATATTTTTTATTTATTTTTTAGGTAGACGAGCTCACAGCCCACTTGATGTTAAGTGGTTACTGGGGCCCACAGACATCTACAACATAAATGCTCCACCCACCTTGAGATATCAGATCTCAAGTATATTTACAACGGCTGCTCCAGCCTTCAAACCGAAACGCATTACTGCTTCACGGCAGAAATAGGCAGGATGGTGGCACCTACCCGTGCGGACTCACAAGAGGTCCTACCACCAGTATTTACGCAAATTATAATTTTGCGGGTTTGATTATTATGTCATGTAAAATCGGTTCGAACCGAATTTATGGAAAAAACGTACACAAGAAGAAAAACAGAAAGGTCAAACAACTCTCTTAACAAGCTATTTCTTAATGAACACTGCAATACTAATTACTGTTTCCAAGTATTTTATAAACAGAAGGTGCAATAACGGGTCAACTCTTTTATTACACAAAGAAAAGGGAGAATACGGGTGTATACTAAGAAATTAAAATGAGCGAACGATCGTGTTCAGTAAACAAGGGTGAGCGCCGCAGAATTTTATTAGGGTACTGTTGTACTGACTCGAGGTGTGAAGTTGGACCTTTAAATCAAGGTTAATATATATTTTTATTAGAAAAGTTTTTTTTTTATTTACCTTGTAGGCAGACGAGCATACGGCCCACCTGATGGTGAGTGGTTACCGTCGCCCATGGACTTCAGCAATGCCAGGGGCAGAGCCAAGCCGCTGCCTACCGCTTAATACTCTCCACAAGCCTCGTAGTTTGAAGAAGGACATGTCATAGCGCTCGGGAAACACCGTGGAGGGGAGCTCATTCCATAGCCGGATGGTACGTGGCGAAAAAGATCTCTGGAAACGCACTGTGGATGACCGCAGTGGCTCCAGGTAGTATGGATGAACTCTACTCCGGTGGCGGGCGGTGCGATGGTAAAAACGAGATGCCGGTATCATCTCGAACAATTCCTCAGAGCAAGTTTGAGTAAAGACACATTCTATAGCTATTTATAGAATGCGTATATATATATAATTTGAAACTGTTCGCCTGGTGTGTAACGAGTACCTATCGGATCCAATTATTATCTAACTAACAGCCAAAACGCATGAGTGATTTGGTTAGCATAAAAAACGTTATAGTGATCCAACCTTAACATATAGACATATGCTGTCGCGGACTTTTTTTTAGATCTTTTAAAGGGGAATAATTTTGCCATAAATAATTTTAACGAAACCTTAACCGTTTCTGCAGCGCATGCAGCGGACGCTCTCAAAAGGGAAAAAAACCCGATTTTGAAACATTCTTTATTGGTGCTCGCTTGTATTGGTCTGGGTGTGATGTTATAAAGCCTATAGCCTTCCTCAATAAATGGGCTATCTAACACTGTAAGATTTTTTTTTAAATCGGACCATTAGTTCCTGAGATTAGCGCGTTCAAACAAACAAACTCTTCAGTTTTATTATATTATTAGAATAGATATTCTACTTTGTCGTATCACTCTTGTCAGAGCAGTTGTTGTCGTCATTCAATATCATTGCTGTGGGCAGATGTTATGTGCCTTACGAGTATTCGCCACTTCTGGTTAGTGGTGAGCCTGGTACACTCATATAGACAACCGCCAACTACCTACTACTACAAGTTGACTTAGTCGGTCCATCGCATGGGCATCCTTTCACGCGGTCTGGTGCCTCCTACTTTGAACGACAAGGCGCTCTATGGAGTCATTTTTTCGCCGGGAGATATGTTAAAAAGATGATAGTACGCGCCCATATACGACCGCCGATAGGCGTTGCTTTATGCTGAGTTCTTGAAGAGTGGAGGTATTGTTTTTTTTTTATTGCTTAGATGTGAGCTCACAGCCCACCTAATGTTAAGTGGTTACTGGAGCCCATAGACATCTATAACGTAAATGCGCCACCCAGCTTGAGTAATAAGTTCTAAGGTCTCAGTATGGTTACAACGGCTGCCCCACCCTTCAAGCCGAAACGCATTACTGCTTCACGGCAGAAATAGGCAGGGTGGTGGTACCTACCCGCGTGGACTCACAAGAGGTCCTACTACCTTGCGAAGTTCGGTCCATGATATACCAAACATTCGTCTCCGGCACCACATTTCCAGAGCATCGACCTCCTTTTTCTCGATCTGCCGCTTAGTCTACGTCTCCGCAGCGTATAAAAATATGGGGAAAACAAGAGTTCATACGAGCCGGATCTCTGTGACTTTAGTGATGTTTTTGTTCTTCCATATTTTCTTCAGCCTGTCCACTGCAGTTCATGTGATCATCATATAGTTGGTTACTAGACGATGACCGAGCTTTGTTCGGTTTTTTTTTTTGATAACGTCATCTTGCTGTGTCTTTAAAGCGGTCAGTTGCCCTCAATTAAGAAAAATAGTATTATTATTCGCCAATAGATGTCGGGAAGAGTTGATTATTGAAAACACGAATAAAACAACATTTTCTGAAAATAAAGCGTACCTAGATCGATTTATCGCCCCTGAAATCCCCTGTATATTAAATTTTATGAAAATCGTTGGAGCCGTTTCTGAGATTCAGATTATATAATTATATTATTATATTAATATACAAGAATTGCTCGTTTAAAGGTATAAGATATAACATAATAATATAGTTAGTGTAATAGTTAGAAAAGATGCCAAAGGCACCCTGGGAGGTTTGGCTAGGCTTCGATCGGGATGGCCGACAGAAAGCACATATCGTCGAACTTTATTTAGAATGGTTACTGGTTGTAGTGGTTCTATCTCGAAATAAGGATGTTAGAGCGAGAGAAAAAATAGTTGAATCCAATATAATTCTTCTGATAGCTTCCAATAAATACATATTTATATCCTTAAGTCATAGCAAACATCTACTAACTAAACTAATATATTCATTGTTGAAAATAGAATTGAGACGAAAAGCGGATGATAGAATAGAAAATAATGAGCGATAAAAGAAAATTTTAGAAATAATGGACTGCAATCTTATTATTAAGTTTACATTTAAGTACATAAAACATGACAAACGAATTGAACACTTTCGGTAAGAACTTTGGGTCGTGGGATCGGAGAATTTTGAATAGACGATGTAATACTGCTTAAAGTGGTATCGGGTGTTCGTTTTCTCTGTTAAATAACCATATAGTCAACATTTTATTAGTGCAAACTCATGTCAACTAATTAAAAAAAAAGGAAACTTAAATTAAAGGAAAAAATATATACATATATACTGTTCTCATTTTCATTTCCTCTTCAATAAAAACAGCGACCGTTCATCTACAGAACCCTTTTGTAATAAAATCGTGTGCTATTTTCCGATATCAGATCAATAAGGAAAGTGGGACACAGGATATTGTCGGACACAGGGTAGGAAAAACCTTGTTTTAATTACGTGCGGCGCTTGGAAACTGACCGAACGGCGACACAAAACCTGTTTTGCTTGTATGGTATTATGCATGCAAAGAATAATGTTAATTGGGCTTCTGGGCGAAAAGAGCTGTATATGATCAGATGCTCATAGCCTGCCCAGTGTCGACTGGTTACAAAAAACGCTGTCCTGGGGTCATGAGATTGAAGGTTCAATTGAATATGCAATTTCGAAAAGGGCACATCTCTGAAAATGTAAAATGTTCAGGAAATGAAAAAAAAACTGATTATTTTCTAAAGCAGTGTAAAATTTAATATTTAAATTTTTGAGATATATTTTAGTGTTAGTTAGCAATTGAAAATTACTGGAACTTTTATAAAATGGATGTAGGTAAGCCGCAAAACTACATGTGTATGAAAAAACGTATTTGACAAAATATGCGACATGTGCCCTTTTCGCAATTGCATATTCAATTAGATTATCCCATATCCTTGAAACCAGAATGTGTAAATTTGCGACAGTATTAGACGGATTCATGATGGCTCACAATATGCCCTATGATGAGTGTGATAGCGTGTAAAAGTTTGAGGACACTATTCACTAGGCTATTGATTAAAAGATAATCATCGGAAAATCATTTCTTTATCTATATTTTGGTAAAAACCCATGTTCGTTGATTATAAATATAATATCATCTTAATTTTACTCCCAAGTTTAACACCCTGTATATGAACATGTGAAATTTATCGCAGGTGTCAAGGTCGACGTCCCAGCAGGTCGTGCTACGCGATGCGACGCGAGCTCTCGCCGGCAGGTACCGCTGTGAGGTGTCAGCCGACGCACCCTCATTCCACACTCAAGTCCGCTCCGCGTATATCCACGTTGTTGGTGAGTGTTTAACGTCAACTTTCATTATTTTTTACAGCTTCGTTCAGTTTATTAACTTTATTTCAAATTAACTTATGGAAAGTATCGTGCGTGAGAAAATGATACAGAAGGGTGCTCACGACCCTCACTTGGGGCGTTGGGGAATACGATGCAGGGAGGAGCCAAAATAATGCTACGGTTGTTTTACAAATTTATCGAAATTCGATTTTTGCGACTAAAATATAGTGGAATGTAATTTTATTACGACTATTAACATTATGATGTATGATGCCTAAAAATTCGATATCGAAATGGGATAACCACAGACACATTTGAATAAGACAACATAAAAACCGGTATAAGTTTTGGATACTCCAGTCAATTGTTCTATTCATTTCAGTCTTCAACGCGTGATGATAAGTTGTTAAAGTTCTTGAGTTGGGTAGGATTAGGTGATTTTTTTACTGATGCAGATTCAAAAACAAGTTTAGTGCCCATTCATAATTTAGTTGTCATCGAGGTAATCTCTCAGATAGATCGCAACATGAAGGCCGCTTGTTTCACTGCAGAAATTAGTAGGATAATTACCCACGTGTATAGGCCCACACTGTTGCCTGTAATATTAAAGATACTTCCATTTTATAAAAGATATTTCGTTTGATTAATTCATCGAAATATTATTAGCCAGGAATATTATTAACGAGACCACAAGAATAACTTAAAGAAGGTCATAGACGAAAACGATTTTATGTTTCTCATCTCAACAAATATCAAACGCTATAAATAAGTTACGTAACTGTCCGAATTACTTACTGTATATTTTTCTATGATTACTAATATGATTCTCAACAAAAATAACAAAAATAAATGTACTAGACAAGATGTAATCAAACAACAAAATTCCATAAATCGAGTACACAGTAAATCGTGTTCCTCCACGAAGAAGCAATAGCCCGATATTATCATAGGCAGTGTCTATAAGCTGAACGAATCAGGGGACCGATTTGCATGGCAGAACCGGGTCCATCGATCCGCCATATCGCTGTCTCATCACAAAACTGTAGCGCACAGCTTAGGACCAGACAGTGCACTAATCATTATCGATGTGCTCATCAATGATTAAGGTTACTTAAAAAAAAACTAGCTTCTAGACATCATTATTTAACGAGTCCTTAGCACTTTTTTAAATTAATTATTAAAATTAGCTTATCAAAATTACAAATAGATGAGCGACTTGTTCTCCTTTTTTATACCTAAGCTGATGGTCTAGAGAGACCATATCAGCGTCACCGGGCGTTTGTCCCGTTATGTAAGACCAAATGAGAAAAATAATCGAATATTTTATAGTACCAGTATTCTTTATGTCGAGTCGTCAATTTTTTGTAATACATATTTTACTCTGTACGATATAACATAACATAATATTTTATATAGCAATAGAATTATAACAGATCCACTTAAAAAAAAAAAATTCGTGCCAATACCGACTCTACACGACAATCATTCTAGAAATTTATCCATCCAATCATTACATACAATGTTTATAAAATTATATAATATTTATATGAAAATTATTGTGTCGTTGATCAGTTGATTTTGATGCACATTTGATAAATATTATAGATTGTAGATAAACGGAAGAAAGTACAAATAACTATAATAATAATGATATTATGACTATGGTAATCCTAAGCCGTAGTAGCTCTACTTTCAAAATCTCATCACGTGCATTTGAACCTACTGTCTTCGCATGCACTACACAGATACCGATAATAAACATGTCTATCCAGCATTTTATCAATACTCGGTATCTGTTGTATCGGAAACCCTGGCAACCTCGTCTGCCTGAATTATTTAGTTCGTATAAACAAAACATGAAATGTGTGTTGCCGTTTTATAAATATTATTCGGGATGGTCATATTTGTTTTTCGAACGGATATTAATTGAATTTTCTGGTTTGAAATTATTCTGTTTACCTGTATGTTTTGGACGTTTAAAAAAAAAGGTTATTTAATTTTGTAATATTTTATGTCGTTGAAAAAAAGACTGGCTGGATTATATTGGTTGCTGTTAAATCCCTTTCGCCTTTTACCAGTCACGAATTCCGCGTCGCTAAATCAACAATTTTAAATATAATGTAACTTATTGGATGAGCAGGCGAGGTTATGACCTAACTTGTGGTAAGCAGTTACCCAAATCATCAGTAATACCCCTAAAACGAATGACGCGTCACTACAATAAGGAAGGTGATCAGTAACCATTAGTTTAGTGCAAACAAGAAGAAATGAGGTATTGCATAATATTACTATGGATTTATAATGAAGCGCAGAGTGGCATTGGTATCGCGTGTAGGTCTAGTTATATAATAGAGTAGGGAATCACTCTAACTACAAAATAAGCATGCACATATTAATAGACGAGTTCTGAACAATATGACTCGGATTATCGGCCAAATGACCAATATCAGTCGCCCTACGAAGGATCTTCTATTTGTCGTTCCTTATACCCATCTGCTTTGATAAGTAGCCCAATTTTATGTAAGATATGATGCATAAAGGAAATTATATTTATAGCCAGAAAACTATGAACTTAGTCCTATATTGGAGCTGTACTATTACTGGTTTCGGAAATGTTTGCAGAAAACAAAGCTACGTAGCTGAACGATTTTGGAATAGTCCCGCCAGTATTAGTCATTAATTAAAAAAAGAAAACAGAGTATTAAAATGAACATGCCCCTATGTAGCAGAGTAATCTGGCACAAAAGATCCCGAGGGTCAAAGTGTAGAACGATTGCTTGAACAGGCCCCCAAAAAGTATTATCGTGAATTTTTGAATCTGGACGGGACTTACTGTTTTTGATATTACAGACTTATTTAGTACACTTCAGTAATTAAATAGTAATGTAACAAATTGTTTAGTAAATTAGAATCATCTTACGAAACTGTTGAGTGGATATAATAACACGTAGACGTCACAACGTAGAGGTTTTACCGACAAATTTGTGATATTATTTAAAAGTCAAATTACATTGAACCGGGAAGAGAAATACGGACTCACGACATGTCATTAAGTATTATGATCCTAATTGATAAGAGGAAAAAAGCATCAAGATTTAGATACTCAGCCATCAAATACCATGCAGACGGACACGATCTATCTACGTATACATAAAACAAATGTTATATACATATTTTTAGGTTTATTTCAATAAATTTGTCAAAAAATGACACCACCGCGGCTCATAAACGTCTGAGCAACGATCATCTCCAATATCAATCATTATACTAAAATACAGCATCGTCTCTCGGAAAGTGGCACAAATTTTATATCGCTCCTTTCCGAACCCGGGTGAAATATCCGGGCAAACTTTACCCGGCTTTTTACGGTCGAACTTGCCGGGTATCCGTGGTAAAACATCTCCTTTGAATATAACTAATTTAGTGGCCATACCGGATGTTTTTAAGCCTGAAACTTTAGTACGGGAAAAAATGTGAGTGAATTTTTATGTGGATACATTTGGAATGGGGAACCGAGATAAATATGTTGTGTAGTTGGAAATGTTTATAGTTCGTACTTTTTAGCCAATTTCAAAGCGAGCTTTCTGAGAAAATATGGGCGTATCGGATCGTGTATGGCTTGCGGGTGGGTGTATATTAAACTAAGTTTCATTCATTATTAAAGTTTTCTGTTGGACTTAAGTTAGTTAGTTTAGTTTAGGTAGCCAAATGATAGAAAATTTGCTTAGTAAAGTTTAAATATATTGTTTTGTACCTTAATGATTATCTGGGCGAGTTTAAAGTCAATCTGGCATTACGTTGTTTTATTTATTTATTGATTAAGCACACAATACACAATACAAGCTAAAATATATATATATAGAGCCCATAGACATCAACAACGTGAATTCCACCGTGCATTGCTTAACGGCTGTCCCACATCGCGGCAGGAATAGAGTATTGACACCTCCCAGCGTGGGCTAGTATCACGCAATAACACTACCAATTTTTGCTTTGAATAATACAATATCAAAAAAATACTCTTAACAGGTATATCCCGTGGGTTGACCCGACAAAATGAATCACTGCTACTACATACAAAAGCAACAAACGGATTTATGTCGTTGTAAAATTTACTTTTTTAGCTAAGAAACCGTAGACTTTTTAGTATTTTACGAGCTTAGGCCATTTTTTACGAGAGAACCCATGAAATTGATGGTATTCAGTGCTTTCATAAGATTTTTTGTGGGTCGTGAAGTTGTTTTAATGAATTTTCGTTAATGGGAAATGTAGGTTACGACTGGCGTGGGCGATGGCAAAAAATTAAACTGTCAACTTTAGGCCATGAGCGGCCGGTGAGCACTTAAAGACTTTATGACTCTGGTGGTATGTCTCTGGTGACGTGAATAATTATAATGAAATATACGGTCTTCGATAGAATTTTAAGTCGTCGTGGAGGATAAAGGATAAAGACGTCCGGTGCATTCGTGTGGAAGCGATGCACCGGTGTTCGAATCTCAGGCGGGTACTAAATTTTCTAATGATATATGTACTCAACAAATTTTCACGATTGACTTCCACGGTGAAGGAATAACATCGTGTAATAAAAATCAAACCCGCAAAATTATATTTTGCGTAATTACTAATGGTAGGACCTCTTCTGTGTCCGCGCGGGTAGGTACCACTACCCTGCCTATTTCTGCCGTGAAGCAGTAATGCGTTTCGGTTTGAAGGGCAGGGCAGCCGTTGTAACTATACTGAGACCTTAGAACTTATATCTCAAGGTGGGTGGCGCATTTACGTCGTAGATGTCTATGGGCTCCAGTAACCACTTAACACCAAGTGGGCTGTGAAAACGTCCACCCATCTAAGCAATAAAAAAAAACTGAAACTTTTAAATTCTAATCTACGTATGATATATAATAGCCTCTGGCAGCATCTATGCGAGAGACAGCAATTATTAAAAAAAAGGTACATACATCTACATTTTCATGAAAAAACCTGAAAAAACAATGTGGACAATT